AATGGCATTCTTCACAAAAATAGAAGAAAAAAAATCCCAAAGTTTATATGGAATCACAGAAGACCCTGAATATTCAAAGCTATCCTGAGCAAAAAGAACAAAACTAGAGGAATCACATTACCTGGCTTCAAATTATACTGCAGAGCTATAGTAACCAAAACAGCATGGTACTGGGCAGGGTGGACCTATTCTAAGGCCCCTGGATGGTATGTGTGAGTGGCTGGCAGCAGCAACAAACATGACAGATACTTAAACTTTTGGATCTTAGGATGCCTTCATATTTTTAAAAGTTGCTAAGTACTGCAAAGAACCTTAACATAGGAATTATATATATTTCAAATTAAAACAAAATAATTAAATGTTACCCGCTTAAGAATGACAGGCCAGTCACAGTGGCGCACACCAGTCATTCCAGCACTTTGGGAGGCTCAAGCAGAAGGATCACTTGGGCCCAGGAGTTTGAGACCAGCTTGGACAATATAGACAGATGCTGTCTCTACAAAAAATAAATTTTCCAGGTATGGCGTCACACCTGTCCCATCTACTTGGGAGGCTGAGGTGGGAGGATTGCTTGAGTGTGGGGCTATCGAGGCTGCAGTGAGCTGTGATTGTGCCACTGCGCTCCAGCCTGGGCAACAGAGCACGACTGTCTAAAAGAAAAAAAAGAATAACAATAAGAAACCCATTACGTGTTTACATAATATTGTGAAAAATTACAATAGTTTCCCAAACAAAACTATCTAGTGAGAAGAGTGACATTGTTTGACATTTTTGTCTATCTCGGATTCTTCATTCAATTTGTTTTGCTATCATAAGTGATGCAGCCTCTGAAAAACTCTACTGCAGTCAGGAGAGAATGCAAATGTAAAAAATAAATAATGGCTTAGTATTATCACAAAAATAATTTTGCCTTCAAGTACCCCCTGAAAGGGTCTCAAGGACCAGCAGGGTTATGTGGATTATACGTGGAGAAGCTCCTTGGAGTAAAACTCACCACTGGTTAACATTGACACACTGATGCACATACGCTTCCAATCAGCTTTTCAGTGCTTGTATTAGTTGGGATATTAGTTAAAGTCTTAACTGCTGTTCCAAGGAGACTCCAGAATACAGTGGACTAAAGAAGATGCAAGCTAATTTCTTTCTGCTCCCTTGGTTATTCATAGACCCAGGTTTCTTTTGTTGGTTTTTCATCCCCTAAAAGATTATCTTCATCTAAGCAGGGGCCAACTGTTCTGGATTGCAGGAAAGGGAAAGTGGAGGAAACTGCGGACAGCAATTTTGTTTTAAGCAAATGAGGCAGCAGCAGCATATACACTTTCCACTCCATTTCATTGTTGAAAGCTTGGTTGCATGACCTGCTGTAGTCACAAAGGAGGATTGAAAAATGTAGTCTCTAGCCAGGCAGCCAAATATACGAGAAGAAAGGATTTGAGAACTAAACCAGCCGCCTGTTATTATAAATGATCAGACGCACATGATTTAAGTCCGTGTGAGAAAAGCCATACATGAAAGAGAAAATCAAAACAAGCAAAAATAAACAAAGCAAAACAAAAACAACACAAAAAACGTGGCTGAATCAGAGACGAGGAGCACAGGAAATCGAAACAAACATACCCTATTCTTGATATCTTCAGGTAAAAGGAAAGATACTACCATACATGAGACTAGAACAAGATGCTATTAACACAAAAAGGAACTGAAAAAAAGACAAAAAGGAAGAGATGGAAGTCGGAACGTTTTCTTCTAAAATCAAGAATAAAGTAAAGAAGCCCACTGTTACTCCACTCTAAGCCCTGGTTGAGAAGGCTGCAGAAGAGGTGCCGGGAAGTGGGGCGGTGTTCTGGGCAGAGATGAAGACAGAGGAGAATTTGCCAATCACAGACTAGAAGCACCACAGGGCCGGTGGATGAGCGAGGAGGACTGGGGGGTGCGGGGCAGGGAGGGATTGGGGACTGAGTCGGGTTGGAGACGAGCAGAGCCATGTGAGGCCTGAGAGGCAGCGTGATGCTAGGTGAACACCCAGGCTTGGACTTCTCATGGTGATGGAGGTAAAGAAGGAAGGGAGGTGGGCAGACTGGTCGGCTGGTCTCTGGGACGAGGGTGAGCTCGAGTCTCTTCCTGTCCTGACGCTGCCTTCCCTTGGTAACCTGGCCTTCCTCCACAATGGCTCTCAGAGGCCTGCTAGTGGGGTGCCCAGAGTCTGTGTCCTGCTCATTCTCTTCCTCTCACCTGTTTTCTTTATTGCAGTGAAATCTGGAAGTGCTGTGCCTTCCCCACAGACAGGGTGGCTGCCTTAGCACGAGGTCACTTGTATCTCGGCTTTGTCCACTCCCCAAACTCCTGGAGGCCAGGACCATGTCAACTTATCTTTGGGGCCCTTGTGTTTCGGACCGTGCTGTGGCTTACAGGCATGGGACACCACGCCCAGCTAATTTTGTATTTTTAGTGGCGATGAGGCTTCTCCATGTTGGTCAGGCTGGTCTCAAACTCCTGACCTCAGGTGATCCGTCCGCCTCGGCCTCCCAAACTGCCAGGATTACAGGCGTGAGCCATCGTGCCCGGCCTCATTTTCCAAGTATTTCTTGAGTGCCTACTGTGTATCGGACACTGTGTTAGACCCTGGGAATACTAAGTGTATATGAGTGTGCTTGTTCTTCCTGGTGGAACCCCAGATCCCCAGATGCATTTGCTGTCCTGCACTCTGAGTAGAGAAGACGGCCCCTGGGGCTTACATCAACCTGGCTCACTGGGCAGCTGCCTCCAGGTGTCTGTAGCCAATGGGAGGCCCTGGCAGGGAATGGCCTGGGAGGGAAGTCGGGTATTTCCTTCTTGTTCCCCTTGCTTTGGGCTGTGTTTCTGGCAGTGACGACTGCAGCCTCTTTAGGACCACTCCTGCCTCCCTCCTTCATGGCTTCAGCTCTCCAGGGACTTTGGTAACACTGTTCTACTCCACCCACTGCCATCCAACACGCAGAATAGGGAGACACTGACCTTGTCATCTCAGGGCCCTGAGCTGAGGCTAAGTCCACAGAGGCCTCCTGGGCAGTGACCTGGGTAGACCAGCTGTTTGTGATCAGCTCCTCCCTTCCTTCATGCTGTTCCCCGCCTGGCACAGCACAGCTGCCAGCACTCAGAGAAGTGACTAGAGAGGATCTCCTGGCCTTCAGAGCCCAGGGCCTGACACACAGAGCACAGAATTCATTGGAAAGAAGAAAGAAAGGGAAGGAGGGCTGGAGAAGGAAGGGAGGAAGGCTGGACCTTGTAACTCCGTCCGTCCTGTGAATCTCTTCTCCCCAGGTCACTAAGCCTGAGGTGATAACCAAGCAGGCTTCTGAAAGGTCAAAGATCATGCAAAGGGAGACTCTGTTGTAGGGAAAGCCACCGAACTCGAGAATCAGGAGGCCTGGGTTAGATCCCAGCCTTGTCGTTCTTGCCAGTTCTGTGATCTTGAGCAACAACACATTTGGCCTTAGTTTCCTGCTCTGCAAAACGAGCACAGCTCTCATGCTCCAAAGTGGTGCACAAAAGCACCTCAAGGTTGCCAAGCACAGTGGCACACACCTGTAGTCCCAGCTACTGCAGGTGCTGAAGTAGGAGGATTTCTTTCTTTTTTTTTTTTTTTTTTTTTGGGGTTGTTTTTTCACTCATGTTACCCAGGCTGGAGTGCAATGGCGCAATCTCGGCTCTCCGCAACCTCCGCCTCCTGGGTTCAGGCAATTCTCCTGCCTCAGCCTCCTGAGTAGCTGGGATTACAGGCACGTGCCACCATGCCCAGCTAATTTTTTGTAGTTTTAGTAGAGATGGGGTTTCACCATGTTGACCAGGATGGTCTCGATCTCTTGACCTCGTGATCCACCCACCTCGGCCTCCCAAAGTGCTGGGATTACAGGCTTGAGCCACCGCGCCCGGCCAGTAGGAGGATTTCTTGAGCTCAGGAGTTTGAGGCCAGCCTGAGCAGCATAGTGAGACCCTCGTCTCAAGAAAAAAAATAAATAAATGAAAGCACACTTCAAGGCTATGTAAATTCTAGGTGCTATTACAATCACATCCAAGCTCATCCCCAGGGCAGGATGTCCTCCTCACACAGGACTCTTCCTGCATCCTCAGAAATGTAGTCACAGCCAGGAGTGATAAGACATTTCATCCTAATTGGATGCCAGACAATTAACTCTTTTTTTTTTTTTTTGAGACAGATTCTTGTTCTGTCGCCCAGGCTGGAGTGCAGTGGCGTGATCTCGGCTCACTGAAACCTCTGCCTCCCAGGTTCAAGCAATTCTCATGCTCAGCCTCCCGAGTAGCTGGGATTACAGTTGCTCACCACCACGCCTGACTAATTTTTTTTTTAATTTTATTTTTAGTAGAGACGGGGTTTCACTATATTGGCCAAGCTGGTCTCAAACTCCTGACCTCAGGTGATCTGCCTGCTTGAGCCCCCCAGAGTGCTGGGATTATAGGCATGAGCTGCCACGCCCAGCCATTCTTTCCATTTTCTTCACCATTTTTTTTCAAGGTGACTTACAACTAACTCAACATGAAAATCACACCCCTTCACCTCCCCTAGGCTCTTCCAATAGGCAAAAATTTTCAGCTCCTAAAAGCCCATGTGGAAAAAGAAAACAGATGGACTCTGGGAAGTGCTGACAAAGCCCCGGGAAGGGCTCTGAGTCCCCTGTGTTCTCTAGAGGTCAGGTGGAGGGGTCAGGGCAGGAGACTGGCCTGCAGGGACCCGGACCAGAAGGGATGAGGTAGTGGCTAAGTGTGGAGCACCCAGTACATGAGAGGCTGTGTGTCAGACTCTAAGGAAACAGAGGTGAAGCCAGCACTCGGCCCCAAGGGGCTCTCAGGCTGGCCAGAAGCATTTGGATGGGACAGGGCGGGCTGTGGATGGCTCGAGCCTCCTGCCTCCTCAGGACGCTGTGGAAGCACCCCAGATGTGGTCTGGGAAGGAGTCTTGCTGGGGTCAAGTCTCAGCTCCGGCCAGAGCAAATGTCTCCTACATGGGGAGGCGGAGTTTCTGCTGGGAGATAAGCAACTGGGACTGGGCCCAATTCAGTGACTGGTCAGAGGGTACTGAGGTCCTATGCTCCAGGGACTTGCCTTCCAAGCTGACCTGGGACAAAAAGTAATGCTCCCTACATCCGCTAGGAGGAGCCAGTGTCCTTGAGTGGACTGCAGGGTGGCCCCCCCTCTAGGGACAGGGAGCATCCAGCAGGTGGGAAGTGAGAGCGGTCAGCGTGTCGCCCACCCTGCCCCCGAACACTTCCCCTTTGACCTGGGCCCTGGCTGTCTCCTTCTCTGCCACACGTGGTGGTAGTGGGCAGCGGGACTCCAGGTCTATGGCCGTAGACAGATTGTGCATAAGTCAAAAGCAAATCTATACTTTACCTCGCCAACCCAGAGGGTGGGCAAATTAGGGGGGCCGTTTGGGTAAAGTCATTCTACCCATCTGAGCCTCCGTTTCTCAACTGTAAAATGCCAGCTTTGTTTAGCCGGATATTTTTGTTTGTTTGTTTTTGTTTTGAGACGGAGTCTCGCTGTGTTGCCCAAGCTGGGTCTCGGCTCACTGCAACCTCCACCTCCCAGGTTCAAGCGATTCTTGTGCCTCAGCCTCCAGAGTAGCTGGGATTACAAGTGTCCGCCACCACGCCTGGCTAATTTTTGTATTTTTAGTAGAGACAGGGTTTCATCATGTTGGCCAGGCTGGTCTTGAACCACCGACCTAGTGATCCGCCTGCCTTGGCCTCCCAAAGCGCTGGGATTACAGGCGTGAGCCACCACGCTTGGCCTAGCCAGATGTTTTCTAAGGCGTCACTACAGGGATTTTGAAGTCCAGTGATTCCTGGTGCTGCCCCTTCCCCTCTACCCTTGGCCTTTCCTGATTTCTGCAAGTGCACGCCACCAGCTGGTCCCATTACAGAGCTTCCTGCCCCTACATTCACCCCCAATGCAGAGACATTCCTCTGGCAGGTGTGAGAGGCAGAGAAACTAGGAGACCTGTGCCAAGATCCACACTCTTGGCATCACCTGGGCCTCTCTCTCCAGTGCACGTTTTATTTCCAAGCACGGACTGTTTCCAACTCAACCAGATCCCTCCACCCGCGCATCCCTCAGGCACCTGCACCCCAATGTGCCCAAGGCTTAGCTGTCCACCCCCACTCCAGGCTGCTGTCCATTTCGGGGGTGGCCCAGCACCCTCCCAATCCCCCAAGCCTGAAATCTGGGTGTAAACATCACATCTTCTCTTCTCCCACCTTCTCTTTCCATATTCATGTGGCCAAAAAGCCCAGACAGGCTTACCTTGAATGTGCCCACCTCTCCTTTCTCCCGCTGCCCCTGCCCTGGTTCAGGCCTTCATCATTTCTTTCCGGAACCGGCTGGTCTCTCTGACTCCAGTCTGTCCTCTCTCGAATCTATCATCTATCTATGCTGCTGCCAGAGAGCTCTTTCTAAAGCACAAATCTGATTATGCACATCCCTGCTTTAAAATCTTGGCTGTAGCCTCGTGGCCTAAAGATAAATCCCAAGTCCTAATGAGGCTTCCAAGTCCATTCATGGTCTGACCCTTGCTTCCCAGTCCAGGCTCATTTCCCAGCACGCTCCTGGGCCCGTCCACGCCACATTTCTCCCCACCATCTGATCCGCCTGTGTTCTCTCAGGGTTCTTGCTTTTGCAAACACAGTCCCCTCAGCCAAGAACTACGGCCCTGATCTTTGCTTGGTGAACTTGGACTTCTCCTTGAAGACTGAGCTCAAGGTTGTTCAGCCATTCCCAACTGTCCCAGGCAAGGTTTCCATCACCCTTCTTATATTTCTTTAGAATCTATCTGCCTCCTGCACTAGACCGTAAGTCCCTATTTAGCTCTGTGTCTCCACATCTAGCCAATGCTTGGTGTGTGGTAGGGATTTCATACGTGCGTTGAATGAATGAACGAAGGCATGCATGAGTGGTGTGGGAAACTGCATGCTTCCTGTTTTCTCTGCTGGAGCCCACTGAACAAGGGGGCAGGAAAATGGTAGGAGATGAGATGGGGGACATGGGTGGAGGCCAGACCAAGTAGGTGAACCAAAAATATAGAGTTGAGATGATTTTTCTCTTACTGGATCTCAGGTACACAGATTTAATCAATCAACCACACTCCTCAGAATGATGTATTATCATCTCCATTGTTGTCATTGTCATCTATTTTTTGGTCCCTCTCTCATATACAGCGAGGGTCCATAAACATTTATCTTATGTGAATCCTTCCATCCTCCCTACTTTTACTTACAGGAGAATTTGCGATTCATTCTCAAAGCCGTGAGAAGTCTTTGGAGGCTTTTAAACAAGGGAGTGACGTGATCTGATTTTCATTTTATAACGATTGCTCTGTCTGCTCCATGGCAAATGCATTGTAGAAGACAAAAGTGGAGCTGAGAGAGCAGCTAGAGGCTGCTGAAGTGCAGGAATGGGGACTGGGGTTCGGTGGAGGGTGGTGGAGAGGGAGAGAAGTGAGCAGGTGGGCGTAGGTGCTGGAGGAAGGGAAGACCAGACTGTATGAGACCTGGGAATCAAGAGAGGAAAAGGCCTCAGCAGTGAAGGTTTCAGCTGTTCTGTACAGGAGTTTAGGGGCAGCCTTTGGGTGGAAAGGGAGCCAGGGAACTTGTTTAGGAGCTGGGTCTACGTAGCAAGCATATCCTTCTTACTTAGACTATATTTTGGTGGGGGTGAGGTGCGGCAATAAAGACTGTATTTATTTGGGACAAATGATGGGATGCTTAGATAATGGAATGGGGAGGGTTTGTCCTTCCAAGCCAATCCTTTTTTTTTTTTTTCTGAGATGGAGTCTCGCTCTGTGACCCAGGCAGGAGTGCAGTGGCACATTCTCTGCTCACTGCAACCTCTACCTCCTGGTTCGATTCTCCTGCCTCAGCCTCCCAAGTAACTGGGATTACAGGTTCATACAACCACGCCCAGCTAATTTTGTATTTTTAGTAGAGACAGGTTTCACCATGTTGGCCAGGCTGGTCTCAAACTCCTGACCTCGTGATCCACCTGCCTCAGCCTCCCAAAGTGCTGGGATTACAGGCGTGAGCCACTGTACCTCGCCCAAGCCAACCCTTAACACCACCACAGGCCACAGGGCCTTTGCAGAGGAGGCCCACTCCCCAAATCTGTGCAAACCAGCTCCTCTTTCCGTCAAGGTCTCAGCTCAGAGATCATGTGAGATGAGCTCAAAGATGTTTCTGACAAGAGAGATGACTACCTCCTGCCCCTCACCATCACCCTCTGCCGCTCTCTTTCACTTTCTTTATGGCACTGATCTAAGCTTTGACGCAGTTCTCTGGTGCAGCGCTGTCTAGAGTTTTTGGCGCACTTCTGAGGCTCCTGTCCACCTCTCCTGTTCCGGGGACCTTGGTGGGCTTTGATGGAGACAGAACCAAGAACCCAGCGCCAAGGTCCAGGCCTTTGTGAGGTGCTGTTGCAGGAGCTGCCAGTCAAGTGAAGGGAGGGAGGGAAGAAAATGAACGTCTAAGACCTCAAGCTGGAGGAAGTCTCAGCCCCAGAAGGTGGTCACTGGTTCCCCTGCCCCTCTTCCTACCCCCTCCCACTGCTCGGCCAGCTGCTGGAGGGACGCTGCAGGGGAAGGAGGCAGGGTGATTAAGAGCTCTGGTTGTCAGGACTGGGGCCAGGGGGCACACCCCCTGGGTGACATTTTCTCGCTTTGTGTCCTCAGAACAAAAACGAGTCTTATTTGAGGAGCTGGACGGGGGAGGGGGCTGAGGGGCTGAAGCGGCAGAGTGGAATCGTGGCTCCAGGGAACAGCGATTACTCATCAAAGGCCAGGGCAGTCCGCGTCTTTGTGTGCCCTCTGCAGCCCGCCCGTGCCTGGCCACAGGCCCCCAGCTCTAGACATCCCCCCATGGCCCCTGAAGAGTAGGGCTGGGGTGGGGGAGGGCTGGGATCGTGTGTGGGCGCAGAGCTGGTGCGGGCTCGATGGGGGCAGGGGTGACCAGGGCAGGCTTCCTGGAGGAGGGGAGTGTGGAGATGCGCTGGACACAGGAGAGGTGCAAGGCGAACGGCTGCGGCTGTGGGCTAAGGGGAGAAAAAAGTGGGTCTCGGGAGACCAGGGGATAAGTGCGGGGAGACGGGGAGGGGGCAGAACTTCTAAGGTGTCAACTCAGCCCCCGGATGGAGTGTCCTGGAGGGCTTGGGGGAAGGGGCCGCTTCCTGCTACAATGGCTATTTTGGGGCCTGAATCAAATCAAATCCGCCGCAGCCCCCAGAGCCCCCAGCAGCTGCGCAGAACAGCTGTCCGGCCAAGGGCGCTGAGCGGCTGGAACGGTGCTTCCTGCCCCCCACTGATCTCTGGCCGCCCAGGGGTGTGGGTTGTAGGCGAAGGGGGAAGAGGATGTGAAAGGGCTTTGGGCTCAAGTCAGAAACCTGGGCTAAAATGGAGTGCCTTCCCCTCCTGTGCTGTGTTACCGCGGGGCTGAGACTGGTCTCTCTGTGCCAGTTCTGTGGCCATCCTGAAGCTCTTCCCTGCACCTTCACCCTCCATTCAGTCCCCACCAGGTATCTCCCCAGGCCCAGACAACCCCTACCTGAGCAGTCCCCCCATCTTCCCCCTACGAAACCCTTCGCTCGTTCTCTTGATGGGAGGAGCCCTTTCCTCATCTGTCCCCTCCCATGCTCAAAGGCTGTTCCCGGACTGGTTCCCTGGGGCTCTCCCATCAGATGTGGATGTGGTTCTTCCTCTAGCTGAACTCCCAGCCATCCACTGGGTATTTACCCACAAGGCACCTGAGTGTTGACACAGAAGACAAGTAAGCTCCCTGGCAGGTGCCTGTTCAATCTCCTGATTGTGCCGAGAGGGCCTCGTGCATGCCAGCTAAAAACTCATAGGTTGGCATGTGATAGAGTTGGGGAAAGCACTGAATTGCCTCCTCCAGGAAGCCTTCCTGGGACAGGCAAAAAGAAGAGGGTCTCTTTCTCTTTGGTCCACCCTGGGTCAAGGCCAGCCAATGTCCACAAGTGTGACCAAGGCTGGGACATGCCCTGGGGCAGCCCTGTCCCTCAGGTCACTAGTCCATGACGGGGTCCCTCGTGCCCATCTTGTGCAGAAAGAACCCCATTGTCCAGGGGGCATAGCTGAGGGGTGAGTTCAGAGCCCAGAGATGTCGACCATAGGCCTGGCCATAGGCCTTCTGACCACAGCAGGAGGGAGCCAGGGAACTGTGTGGTCTGTGTGGGCGAGGGACAGGCACACACTGGTGCACACAGGGCCATAAGCCCAGGCACTGCCCTCCTCATCCAGGCGCAGATGCCCCCGTGCTCCCCCCAATACAGCCCCTCTTCTTCTTCCGCATTCCTGCTGGCAGA